AAATTGTTGCTAAATAACAAGAAAGGAATTCAAACAAACAAGACACTTACACCACTAAGATGGGCAGCAGTTCACACATGAGGTTTGAAAAGGCTTCTGGGAAATGGACCGTGGGAGCGGTGACTGAGGCAGTGGAGTGAGGACATCTCAGTCTCCTGGGAGCATGGAAGCAGACTGGCCTTACGGAGCCCTAGCTGAGGTCTTCAAACTGCAGGTGTGACAAAACACGGGAACGAGTGGTGCTGAAAATGGGAACGTTAGTTAAATTCCATCTGTTTCCTGACAGGCCTTCCTCTTCCTCATCCTACTCTCACCAGTGAACTGTGAGCCAGTCATAAAATCAGAGGAAGAAAGGTGGGCGTAAGACCTCCATGTTATACTTGGCTTCTTGCTCAGTTATCCTAAAACAAAACTCTCCAATGGATGTTTGCTTGTGTACCCGGAGCAGGACTGTTACAAAGAAGGACTGTTCTATAGGAGTATGTGCCGTGACATGACAGGTTTTGCTCTGTTGGGCAGGGATCTGCACTTGTAAGAATTGATCAGGAAGTTTCTCCCTGGCGCCATCCCCATACTTAGGGTTAGCAGAGTTTAATCAAATGGGAGATGGAACTCTGGAGGGCAACAACTCATGGGTTGTAGGTCAAGTGGAACTGTACTCACATAGGCTCCTCATATGGACAGGATCTGGAGGGCTCGGTCATTGGGGACACTGATGATGTCATCAGTGCAATTGCCTTATACCCAAGGGGGACGATTGACATGTTGTACATGTTTGTTTCTATGGGGTTTGTTTCCCTGCCTTTACTTTGTTTTTGTTTTGTTTGCCGGTTGGTTGGTTGCTGTTGTTGGTATAGTTGGTCTTTTGGGGTTTTGATTTTGCCACAGTATGACCATGGAGTTAAGGCTGAGTCAAGCATATCCCACGGCCTTCCACTTAATTCTAACCCCAATTCAAGAAGAGTCTGTTCAGATGACATGGCCCTGCTCGATACTTGCCTTCATTAAGTGATCACTGAAGATAAGGGTGCTCTAGCAAAGTGTGGTGAAGAAAGCAGATGGTGTCCGGCTATCAATCAGAATAGTGTTTGGGGTCTTAAAGCCTTGTATTCAAGCAAGCAGCCAAGTGAGAAGTCAACTAAGTCCACACCAGCTTGTGTGATCCCAAGATGACAATGACAAAATTCAAATATGACAAAGGGAAAGTAGGAGAGCTTAACTGTGAACACCCAATTTGTAGAAGGGCATGGAGGACAATGGGAGCCCCAAGCCCATCTGCAGAGTATCTAGTCAGATTCAGCCACTGGCAGATACCCTCTAGCCATAGGCCAGGGTCTCAAACCCCTTTACTGTCAATGGAGACCATTGTCATCTTGATTATGCTGGATTGAATTTGAGACTTCATTGACCTCCCTCTTGACCCAACCAGAATTTGTTTTAGGTACAAGTATTTCTTGCTTGTTCCATGGCAAAAAAAAAATTCTTCCCTGTCTTTTTAAGTATTGATAGTGGTCTTTTCTTTCTTACTCATTATTTGTGTTTTTATCTTTATATTATTATTATTTTATCCTTGACACTTTATTTTGTTGTTGATTTTTATTGTTTCTGTTGAGTTTTCTGTGAAGCACAGAAGGGGTGGATGCACAGAAATAATAGCTGATGCCAGGGCTTATAGGGAACACAGGGGTGGTGGGTGGGAGATAGGGAGGGAGAGGGAATTTCCCGAGCAAACAAGGTATGTGGGAGGGGGAAGGGAGCACTACAAGTGATTGTGATTACACAACTCATTTGAAAAGCAATTAAACCATAAAAAAGTTCTAAAATTGATTGTGGTAATGATTGTACAATTCTCTTTTTTTGAACAGTTTTATTGGCTCTTAATATCACACTTAATATCAATAGTTAAGTCATATCAAGACATATAATTCTTCTTGATATGATTGAACTGTTGAGTTGTATGATATGTGGATTATGTGCCAATAAAACTGTTTTTAAAAAGGAGAGTATACAAGTATGTGCATTACCACTAATTGTGAATGTACAACTAAGAACGCCCAGACATTAGAAGACACCGAGAAAGCCTGCAACTCACAAGAAATGCTGAGCTGCATTAAGTCGAAAAGGATCTAGAAGCAGTAGAGGATTCAGGGAACAATACCCCTACGAGATTTGAGAAGATATTGCATCTATTAAATAAGGACACGTTGCAAAAGGGATCTCTAGAAAATAAGAAAGATTTCTTGGAAACGAATCACTTAGGAAGTAGAAGATAGAGATGGAAACAGTGAGAAAAGATAACGGGCATCAATGTAGGTGTCCAACCTCTTAGTCATAAGGGAATATCAAAGAAGCAATGCTGCGTTTCTCTAGAACTGGAAGTTCTCTCTCTTGCCCAACGTAATTAATGCAAAAAATCCACACACCCAGATACACCTCTGGAAAGTTTTAAGACACTGAAAATAAAGAGCTTATACATTTCTAGAGAGGGAGAGGGGAAAAAACAGCCATCCTATCCTCAAAGGAACAAGAATGAGGTTGGCATGAATCGCAGTGGTTGACAGAGGGCATAATAATACTTTAGCAGACTGAGGGGAAGGTATTCTTGAACATCCACTTCTGACCCATTCAGATATCAACTCAATCACAAAGGAAGTGTACACCTGTGCACCAGTTCTTAGGGAACCATTTGGGATTGTCCTTCAGTGTACGGAAGTCATAAGATTCTAGAAGCAGGAGCTCAACGCCAGAAGAATAATGAATAATGTCCAGGATATCAAGCCTAGAGACCCCTTAGCCCCTTGATGTAGGAAGACTGTGAGTTTCAAAAGGGAATTTTCTAGAGGAAATGAGGTCTCTTTGGAAAACTTCTTGGTACCTTCCTTGAAAATTTGGAACAGCCTGAAAAGATATCAACCTATAGATAAGAGGGGGAAGGAAAACAGAAAGGCAGTTAGAAATTCTAAAGAACTGGGGGGAGAAGAACCCCAAACTGTGTAAGACAGAACCTATCATCCTGGTATTATAACCCGTGACTGTGCAGAGAGCAATAGTGATAGAATTATAATACTATGAGCACGTTTGATTGATTTTTCTCCAATGATTTTATTGGCATATAATCCATAAAGTATTGATTGATTTTTAATTCAGAGTCAGTGTACACAGGGAGGGGACTTAGAGGACGGCTTGCTGAACTAATCGCTTAAACTGATGGAGTGCAGAGAACCCAGAGAAAGATGCTGGTAGCCTTCACGTTAAAAAGTGTGCGCACAGTGTTGGAGCTAACAAACAAAAGGTTTAAACCAGTGTTGTCCCTAGTGGGGGACACCATCTCCTGGGAGTGGGGGGGGCACTGGAATGATGCAGGGGGCTTCAAAAGCAGGTGCCTACCCTTTCCCCTGGATTGTGGGCTATAGCACAAACGTTTTTCATGGCTAGTGGGTACTGAGCGATTTTTCTTTTTTTTTCCTGAGAAGGAGGGTGATCAGCCAAGTGAGTTTGGAAAGCTATGGTTTAAGGTATAAAGCTATTATTTAAACTTACAAAGGTAACTGGTAGGCAAAGTAAAAATAGTGACACAACCATATCAGTAGGAAAGGAGATAAACACTCCTGTATTGAAAAAAAGATACTGTTTTACATTGATTATGCAAGAAATAGTAGTGTCAGCTTAATATTTAAAGACCAGTGGAAGCAGAAAATAGGAAAATTTAACTAAGTTGGAAATGGTTTCTTCTGAAGAACAGAGCTAAGAGAAAAGTGAGACTTTTTCCTAACATTCTTTTGTTCACATCATTAGCTTTTATTATTACTTTACAAAGGGGGGAAACAAAGAGAAGGAAGGATCCTGAGAAATCACAGAGGAGCCTTCCCCAAGACCCCGGATGGAGAGAAACCTTTCCAAGACCTGGGACTCATACCGGGTCTATCTGACTCATCCAGATGAGGGATTTCACATTCTTGGTGGTAATTTCCCATTGTCTTCTAATTCCACTTTTTCACGTGCCTTTTGGAGCCTGCTCGTCGATAGGCACATGTCACTTCACATCTGCAGTACATTCTGGAAATGGGACGTTTTGTGATGTGGACGTGTGTGAACGCCGTATTCTGGACAGGAGAGTGGTGCGGAGGACGACGGTCGGTCGCTGGTTGGGCCCAGGACCAGTTGTTGCCCGCATTGCACTTGGGGGCGGTGCCCAAACGTTAGCTCTGCTCCACTGGTCCTTTGTGGTGGCTGCCAGGCCCCAAGAACTCTGGCTTTGCCAGTCTCCACCTGCCTACTCCAGCATGCGCTTGCTCTCTGGAAGCTCCCTTTCCTGTTCCTCCTCCCAAGGGTGGTGGACCACCCTGGGAAGACTGACCGCCTCAGGCCCAGGGCTTCATGCCAGCAGAGTGTAGGGGCCAGGGGGGTAGGGACAGTGGCCTCCATGGGTCATCCCCTGGGGTGTTTCAGGCAGTGTGTGTGTGGTCCCTGCCTGAGGCACGTGGGGCAGGGAGCTGCGGGTGAGCTGAGGACTGACACCTAGCAATAACTCATAACAAGGTCCTTTCCCTGAGGACTTCGTGTGTTTCACAAGAATAGGCATGCTCTTTTCTGTAACCCCAGCCAGCTCGACATGGATGGGGTACCTTATCCCAGGCTTGATTCTTCTTCCATCGGCCGCTCCCCTTCAGGACTTGTTGGGCCTTCCCCAAATTTTCCCTGCTGCCACCCTCCTGCGAGGTCCCCGAGTTCTGTGCTTCTGATTTGAAGTCTTTTGTTCTGTCATTATTGCAATGATTCCTGGGGCTTAGAATGTACTTAAAAAGAGGGGGAAGCTTTACCAGCCCCCTCTCTGGAAGAAGACGTCGTTCTTTTGCATTTCGAAAAATCACAAGCCCTGCAACGTCTGGTTCTTGTTAACTCCACCTTCTTGAAAGCTGAATCTTATGGATACGTTTCTGAGGGCTTAATGACTGTTGTTTTGTTTCTCCATTTCTCTCTCTTTCCCCTCTGTTGTATAGTTTGAGCAAGTACCAGAAGGTCCCATCCCTCCATCGACACCAAAGTTTGCATATGGAAGAGTCGCTCTGACCCAGGTAAGCAGGAAGCCCCAGAAGCAGAGACGTGCAGTCTGAAAGTGAGATGGGAGTGCGGAAGTGGAGGTCGGCGGCTGAGAGTGAAAGTGCCGTGGCGGGGGTCGGTTGGTTATTTTTCTGTGAATCCGCGTTCTGGGAGGCAGGGAGGCTAGAGGGTATTTCTGAGAAAATGGGAAGCGGGGCAGGAAGCCTCTGTGTCCATGTTGTCGGGGGGGATGGCTAGAGTGGGAGGAGATCGGGGAGTCAGAAAACGTGCTCCCACCGTCCAGGTCTTGTTGTTTCAACTCCCAGTTGTCCAAAGTGTGCCAGGAGTCTTTGTAGAACAGCATTCTTTTCTGTTTCTAGATGGTTCCCCAAAGCCATACGCATTGTTATACACTGCCCTAAGTTTATACAGCTCTCCATCTATAAACATGCCTTCATTTTTATGGGGGGTAGGTATTGGGTTAAGTGCTGGGCTCCTAACTTTATGGTTGGCAGTTCAAAACTCACCAGCTGCTCCAGGGGAGAAAAATGAGACTACTTGCTCCAGTAAAGGTTTCTACCCTGTTCCCCTGAAAGTAAAACATCCCCTCAAAATAAGACCTACTTACAGTTTTGCCTCTCCCTGAAATATAAGGCATCCCCCCGAAAATAAGCCCCCCTGAAGCTACCATAACTCTGTACAGTAGCGATGGGCGCCTCCGTGCAGCTCACTGTTGGCCGCAGCGCAGCTGGAACAGATAGGAAGTGTGAGGTCTCTTTTAATAACACAATAAACAATAAATGTGTACCGTATTCTTCTTCATGGAAAAATAAGACATCCCCTGAAAATAAGACCCAGCGCATTTTTGGGAGTAAAAATTAATATAAGACACTGCCTTATTTTCGGGGAAGCAGAGTAGTCTTGGAAACTCCACATGCAGTTTACGTTGAAACTGACTGAACGGCAGTGGTCGGACGTTTGACGTGGTAAATGTGGCATGAGGGAGTGGCATCACTAGGGAGTTGGGGGGGTTGGGCTGTACCAGGTGACACTGTCAAAGGGAGGTGACACTAAGATGATGGACTTGTGTGTGTGTGTGTGTGTGTGTGTAGTGTTTCATCAGAAATGTACTGATGTTTTTATAAAAGTACTCCTGTAGTTAAATAACAAACTCATGATTCATAAACCTAGGGTACCCACATCAGTACACCTTCAAGGCTGAAACTCGATTCTGAGTTGCGTTTTGAATTTCCACTTGGGCTCCAGCGAGAGCCGTCCTTACTACACAATGACACCGGCGCTGTGGATCACGTGGTTCCGTGCTCGCACACCGTGAGCGCACACTCATGTTTTCTTTCATTGCTGCTGGTACTTTCACAGTCAAATTCTGGTCAGTGTTCCTGGTGTTTCAGCTAAGATATTGTGGCAAGTAGTGCTTGTGTGCCGACATCAATGGTTTTTGGAGAATAAAGTAGGTATCAAGAGTCAAAAAGGGCTTCCACTCGCTTACTAAGAATTTTGCACTGCCATGTAGACATATTTTATAAAACAATTGTGTGGTTGGGACTCACATAATCTAAGAAATGTTGTGTTCAAGAAGTTTACAAGTATATTGATCACATATTATCCTATATGGGATAAGTAAAGTTGATAATACACATGACCTATAATCAAAAGGGCTAATCAACATTACTAAGGATTCTGTAGGGTCTGATGTGGGAGGAGTCCGGGGAGGGAGGCGGGTGACAATCTGAGTTACCACAGGGGGTGACACCAGCCCAGTGCTGGATGCCGCCACATGGGGGAGAACTAGAAATTAATCGGAAATGGGAGGGAAGCGCATGGTGTTCTAGGGAAAGAAAACAAGGTTTCGGCTAAATACCATAATGACAGAAGAAGCCGAAGTCCCTTTGTTTTGACGGTCTCTGTCTTCCGGTTTCCCCTCTTAGAATCCCTGAATTCCTCGATGTTTCAACTCACAAGAAAAGGAGCGCTGTATGTTTCTTAAGAATCTTGCGACCCCAAAATAGCATCGCGGGTTTTGATATTTAAGCAGCACGCCAAACATGAAGGTAGAATGTTTCCACTGGCGAAGCTCATTGTCGGGCACCTGTAACATTTTCCACTCGACGCAGCCAGCGATGTGGGCCCCTGTACCTCAAAGACTGTGGTCTCTCTGCCTGATAGGAATCTTTCTTTAGCGTAATCAAACCTTCAATAAACTTGTCAAGGTAACACCCACCCTCTACTCGTTCATTGTTAGTGTAGCATAAGGAAAGGGTTGGTTGATTGCTTTTAGAGTGGTGGGAAGTTGATGCATATGTAAAAGAAAGTAACTGTAAATAGTTAAAAACAATGACAACGCTAATAGCGTAGTTCACGTAGTACCAAACACCCAGTCTGCTTATCAGGAAGTAAATGAATGCCTTTTCATGGTGAACAACTTCAGGATATACGACTTAAGATAGTTGGCATGACTAAGATCACAACACAGTGGGTTACAAATTGGGCTGTTAACCACAGTTCAAAACCACTAGCCACTCCAAGTAGAAAGATGAGCCTTTCTACTTCCACACAGAGTGACAGTGTCAGAAACCTACAGGGGCAGCTCTGCCCTGTCTTGTAGTGTCGCTATGAGTTGGAATTGACTTGGTGGCGGTGAGTTTGGTTTGGAGTTCCATAGGAAAACCTTTCACACGGGGTTGAATTCCTGTAGTTGTCCACATGGGAAAGCCCCCATGTGAGTAGCTGACTTGATGGAGTTACAGGTAAGGCTCCCCCACCCCCACCCCGATGTTCCACATTACCAAAGAAATCAGGGGAAATGTGTATAAAATACCTAATCCGTTCCAAGCCATGAAAAGCCCTGGGTTTTTAAATCAAACCCAACTGTAGAGTTTGGCTCAGCCATTACTCAAGTTCACGTCACTGAGCCCGCGTCCTCTTATGGGATCATAATGCCCACCTCACTGATGGGACGGCTCAGCGAGGCTGTGCATGTGCAATGCTCTCTCAGCTGGAGGGGGGAGGTATGCAGGGATAGTCGTGGAGGAGGCTCTTGAGTCATGATAAGCATCCTAGCTTACAAGGAGATGCAGTCCTTTTGCTTGAGTCAAATAAGCCTCCATTGAATATGTGCTAGGTGCCGGGCATTAGGGATGGTCCAGTACAAGCCCTGCCTTCAAGGAGCTGACCATCAGGCAAGGCAGACAAAGATAAACAGCTGATACAGGCATGGAAATATGCCCAGGTTAGGATGAGGGCATAGTGTAGTTACTTCACTTGGTGGTATAATAGAGCCTTGGTTCTTATTTATTGTAAAAATTTATGGTAGAGTCCCTAGGGAGCACAGTGTAGCACTGGGTTGCTAAAGGAAAGGTTAGAGGTTCAAGTTCACCAAGAGGCACCTTGAAAGAAAGGCCTGACTATCCACTTCTGAAAAAGCAGCCATTGAAAAGCCTATTCTACCCGAACACACCCAGGTCATCGTCTTAAATTGGATTGCATGCTACAGCAATTGGTTTAATTTTTTGCTTTTGTTTCTTTGTTTATATCTCTCTCAAAAAAACTAACCTATTGCCAGCAAGTTTATTCTGACTCATAGTGAACCTATAGAGGGTGTCTGAGACTGTGAATCTGTATGGGAACAAAGGAGATGTCTTTCTGGTCAGGTTATGTTTAAAGTACCCTTCATATGACCACCGTTTAACTTTGTCATTGAGACTTGAGTGGATGGAGAAGACTGTCGGTGACTGAGAAGCAACATTCGGTGGAATTGGCACGTTTGATGTTGAATTAGGGCACAGGGTTTGGTCCAGTCCTTGATAAACTGGGGAGTGATGCGGCCGTCTGCTTGGTAAGTGATGGGGATGGGTGACTGCTATTTTGGTTTTGTTTCAGTTAAAGACCGTGGAAGAGGCTCTGAACATCCTATCTCCCTCTGGGCCCGTAAAAAGCCTTTATCCCTTGACATTTGTCAAGGTGAAACAGGTAGGCCTTCAAAGGTAATGCTTCAACTTTTTCCTACTTGCAAAGATGTGCTTTCTGCACTGCCAGTTTCCAGTGCAAGGACCAAAATAGCAAGCCGATGACTCAAACCCCAGGGGAAGCAAACTGTGGATTTTCCAGGCTCACTTTCGCTTTAAGTACTGCACAGG